TGAGAGCAGACTGGGGGGCCCTGAGCTCAGTAATAAACGGCTTTCCAAATTCCAAAAAACAAAACGAAACAATTCAAGGTCAAGCCTTCCACCACAGCAACCATCGAACAAGAGTAGCCCCGGCCCTCCGCTATCCCATAACTGTGGGCCTCAACAAGGGTCACAAGGTGACGAAGAATGTGAGCAAACCAAGGCACAGCCGCTGTCACGGACGTCTCACCAAACACACCAAGTCCACGCGGGACATGATCCGGGAAGAGAGCGGCTTCGCCCCCATGAGCCTCTGAGCAGCGCGCCATGGAGCTGCTCAAGTTCTCCAAGCCAAGCGCGCCCTCAAGTTCAACAAGAAAAGGGTGGGGACGCACATCTGTGCCAAGAGGAAGCGTGAGGAGCTGGGCAGCGCGCTGGCCGCCATGAGGAAGGCGGCCGCCATGAGGAAGGCGGCCGCCAAGAAGGACTGAGCCCCTCTGGAATAAAGCTTTGAAAAAGTTTTAAAAAAAAAATTCAAGGTCAACCTGGGCTACATAATAAGTTCACAGCTAGACTGAACTACATAGTGAGACCCAGTGTTTTCAGTCTGTTGGATGATGAACAGATAGACAAACTGAGCCAAAGAAACCAGTGGAGAACTAATACCTGTCACAATGTAACCTTGAAAAAGAAGCCAGAAAGGAAGGCCACTGACCACACCTTCACACCACATGCTTTCAGTCCTGGTGATGGGCCACTTCTGACAGCTGCACAACATTTCAAATACAGAATGCCACTGAACTATTCACTTTAAAGTCGTCGATTTTGATACCTATGCTTTATCTCAATACACACACGTGCACTTCTCCAGTATCTTGCTTCTTACCGGGCCCCTGTGTTGTTTTCTTCTCTTCCACCCAGCTATAGTAGGCAGAGTAGTCCCCGTTATTTGGCAGGCTTATCCAGGGCCCTGTGATGCTGATGCTGGTGTCGCCGTTGTGGTCATCCCAGACCCATCGTCCTGAAAGGTAGGTCGTTCTCCGGGCTTCAGCAAGCTTGCTCACAGTGCTGGAAGTCATGGCGCTGTCATTCTCTGTAGATCCATCTGCAGGGTCTCTAGAAGTTAGAAATGCATTCATGTTTCAGAGACAGACTTTATTTTTTGCAGTCCTAGAGCATGACCTCAGCCCTTACTTGTTTCATCATGAGATGTGGTCTCCCTAGTCACCAAGTTCCCCTGGGCTTGACCATTTGCACTCCTGCCTCATCTCCTAGGGCTCATCAGCACACACTCCAAACAGGCAGCATTATTAAGAATGACAGGAATTATAGTTTGCGTACACAGAAGAGCAATACAAAGGTGCCCCGAGCATGGGAACTTAACTGGGATATAGAGGCATGTGATTTCTACCAAAGATGAAGCACAAACGGGCTTCGGCAGAAAGCTCTCACAAATGTGAAGAGAGCACAGTGAGTTGACCCCAAGGTAGCAGCATCTCAAATTATTTGGTTTCCATATCCTTTTACTGGCTTAGAATATTTCAGGATCCCAAGTGAATCTTGCTTATAATATTAAACCATTTGCTCTATCAGAAATTAAAACTGAGAAAAATTTAAATAATTCACTACAATGTAAGAGTAAATAACATGTTAACATAGACGTCTATGAAAAACTCTTTAGTTTTCACATGATAAAATTAAACTCTATGAGTTTCCTTTCAAATGAAAATAGTGTCCCACAACAGCAGGAAATCCAGGCTCAGTCCAGAACTTGTCTGCACCCATCTCCATGTTTCAG